ATGATAAAAGGTTGAACGACCATGAGCACGAAGTACGTAAGTGGGTGGGAACTGACAGGCATCGCCCTCATCAGGACACACCGTCGCAGTGCCTCCACATTTCGGCAAGTCTGTGGCCAACTCAGACTTGGGTGTGCCGACGTGGTGCCAGACACCCAGTTGATTGAAACTGTGCAGGACTGGGCGTCGGAGCAGGGGTACGGAGCAGGCGTCGGAGAGTAGGAACGCAGAACATATGTCGAGGGCGTGGGAGGTACAAACAACACGAGCATGGGACGGGTGGCGCCAAGGTAGATCAGTTGTGTGCTGACTTCTCTCCGGGGCATGCGTGCTGTCGGGCCCTCGCTTCCCGATGCCCTTTGAAAGACGCCCCGAGGCAAAACCTCGTTCCTGCAGATGTTAGCCACGCTGCTCATCGAAAGTCCACATCCCCACATCATGTTGTGCGCCGTGCGTGGAGCGCCCGGGGAGGTGGACTGCTCACCCCGTCCCACAGTCCCTGGGCTGGGCATGGAGGGGCATCATAGGCCTTCCCACCATAGAAGGAGTGCAGCATAGCCTCCACCCCAAGATCCGACGCCAAGGCAAGGCAAGGTCCGATGGCGCGGAGGCCGCACGCGCTTCACAAGTAGAGACGGCGTCAGAAAACATGCAGTGGACCCTGCCCCTTTGAAGAACGGAAGTTGCAGGCAAGCTATTGCGAGGCCATGAAGTCGACGATATCATCTTCGAACTATGCTAAGTCCAACACTCGGGTACCATGATATATTTCTGATAATGAAATGGCATATTTGCTATTCATATACTGGTTTACGTTATCAGTCCACCTTGTCCCTGGGCGTCCCCGAGATCGCTTACCCAGGAGAGGAAGCCATTTTACCACTGTCTGGCCGACGGTGTAAATGCTGGGAAGACTGGGAAGACGCTGGCCAACGGTGTAAACATCGACTTCATAATGATTTATTTGGCATTCTCGCGTATCTGATTGGTTGCAGGTAGTCGACAGAACGCAATGTCGGCTCATCCAGAAGACTTTACATGTCGATCTATCTTGGCCGAAGATCCGAAGTGCTTCCTCTCAAACCATTATTGATGACATGAACCATTCCATTCGTGGCATTCTCTTCCATCATCCTGTTCTCTCCTCCTCCATATCCTCATACACCCCCTCCTCATGCTCCCTTCCTCGTCCTCCTGCTGTTGCTGCTGCTGCTGCTGCTGCTCCTCGTCCTCCTCCACTCGCCTCCTGTCATTTCCCCCTCCTCTCCTCCTTCTCCTCCTTCTCCTCCTTCTCCTCCTCGTCCTCCTCCTTCTCCTCCTCTTCCACCTCCTCCTCCTCCTCCTCCTCCTCCTCCTCCACCTCCTCTCCGCCTCGTCTTCCCGCTCCGCCTATTCTATCCTCTCCTCCTTCCTCTTCACCTTCCCATTCCTCCGCTTCCCCCTCCTCCCCGCCTGCCTCCTCCATCCCCACCCCCGTCCCTTCCCGCCTCCTCCTCGAGGCCGTGTATATGTTAGGAGGCATGTCCTGGGAGATCCTCGTCAGGCCGATCACGGGCCCTTGGGCCCCCTCCCTCCCGGCCTCGGCCCCGCTGTGCCAGAGCTGGCCCCCGCGCCCCCGTCGCCGTGGGCGCCGCTGGGCAGAGGGGAGCCAGCCTGGGCAGAAGCGCGCATGGCAGCGGCGACCGGAGGATGAGGAGGAGGAAAAGGAGGAGGAGGAGGAGGAGGAGGAGGAGGAGGAGGAGGAGGAGGAGGAGGACGTTCGGGGCTCAAGAGACGGGGGTCAATGCAAAGGGGGGTCAGCTAGGGCGCCAGATCTTGTAGGATCCTGCAGAGCCAGGGTCGCATGGACCCGGGTTGGGGTGCAGGATCCTGCAGGATCCTGCGGGATTTTGCCGGATCCTGCAACGCCCGACTGACCCTGGTTTGGATTGACCCAGGTCAGTATATCTCCGAGAGGTTTGCGGCGAAGTCCGAACCCTGCTCACGCCGATCAACGATTCGAGGTTTGGGGTTGGAGGATCGAGGTTTTCGGCGTTTTCGTTGGCTCTCGGCGCTTCTCCAGCCTCTGGATGCCTTCCAGCGTCTGCGTCTCGCCGAGAGCGTTCTGGGGATGCCTGGGATCGTCCCGAACGGCCGCCGGAGGCCCGAGCTACGATTCGAAAACCACCAGCGGGCCGGCACCCCTGTCGATCAACGACTCAGGCAACGAGTTCGTCGAGCACGTGGAAATCCGAAGCCTTCTCCCGCCTCCCCTCGTTTCAAGAGAGTCGATGGTCGGTGGGGGTAGTGTTCGGACGTCGCCACCTCAGAGGGCCGGACGTTTTCCTCTGTTCTCGGAGGTTTTGCCCGCCTCGGGATGCCCTCCAGCAGCTGCGCCTCGCCGAGAGTGCTCTGGGCGTGCCTGGACCGTCCCAAACGGCCGCCTGAGGCCCGAGTTATGGCACGAACACCACCATGGGCAACGTTGGGGCGGGATAGACTCGGAGCAATGCATCGACCCCCCATCGCCCGTTCATCGCCAACGAGGGCCTGGTCGCCCACTCCGCCCACCTAAAGTGAGGGCTCGCAACCGGAGGCCTGTTGCCGATCTGTCAGAGAGGTATCGCCGATTCGGGCACGAATTTTTTTCGCTGCTCGCGGCTTGAGATTCTCGATTCCTCATCTCCATCATCCGCACCCTTCTCTTCCCGGGGTGGGGGGGCCGGCGGCGAGAGCGCGAAGTGATTCGCGCTTGGCGCTGCGCGCTGCGCGCAGCGAGAACAGCTTAATGGTCCTACGTTTGGTCATAAGCGTAGGGGGTTCGCCACCCCCGCCGCGGCGAATATTGCCACGCGACATCTGCCCCAGTCGGCCCACGCCAGCCGCTGCAAAAAACAGACCCTCGGCCAACGGGCCCCTGATCCCCCACGCTTACTTCCAAAGGCAGAGTAATCATTCCGGCGAAGACCTTCCAAAGCAAGGAGAAGGAGGAGGAGGAAGCGGAGGAGAAGGGGGTGATCCCCCTCGACTGAGGTCAACGAGGAGGAGGTGGAGGAGGAGGAGGAGGAGGAGGAGCAGAAGAAGGAGGAGGATGAGCAGAAGGAGGAGGAGCAGAAAGAGGAGGAGGATGATGAGGAGGAGGAGGACCAGTGTAAGCCCAAGGCTGATCAAGATATTGGAATTCACCCTCCCTCCAAGCTCCCTCTTCATAGGCCCCTGCACTGAGGGAAGTGCCCCGCTGGGAGACAACCGTGAAATCCTGAAGCGTGCCAGAAGACCACTCTCAGGACTTTACGCCACGAGTCAACTTGACTTCCGCGTCTTGATGATCCTGAATCGTGCCGGAAGGCCATTCCTGGGACGTCAACGCCGCGAGCCAACTTAATTGTTGTGCCCTTGACAATCCCGAAGCGTTCCAGCACGCCGTTCCTGGCACGCCACTCGGGAGAACTCCGTGAACAGCTTGCAAATTGTAACGGCGAGTGTGCGCGTCGCAAAGGCGAGACGTGAAGCTCTGGCACGAAACAATGTCCGTGGCGCTAAGGCGAGAGCCACATTTCAAGTCGTGTTGCAATTTTCAAGACGAGTGTGCGCGTCTCTCAGGCGAGAGCCACATTTTGGAAGCGACCTGGCCTCCATCTGTGAAGCTGTGACCAGTTTCCAAGCTTCAGGATGGTAATGGCAAGGAAGTCTCAGGCGAAACGCCCGGCCTGCCATTCCGACTGGCCTCGGGATGTGACAGGGATGTGTTGTTCATTAGGAAGAGGAGTGGAGGAGGAGGACGAGGAGGAGGAGGATGAGGAAAGGGAGGAGGAGGAATAGTTAAGGATAATGGTGATTATTAAAATAGAGGAATAAGTATAACACTATTGAAACGGATAAAAATATATGGACAATACTAATAACATGGGTAGGAGTAGTAATAATGTGCATACTCAGACTTAAGACAAATAATCATACCAACCTTACAAGTACTAATACGTTTAGTACTGAGACGAATACTAGTAATCATGATGCTGATTTTTAGTAGTAACATAAATCACTACGGTGAATCATACAAATGCTACGGCGAATTGCCAAACACAACGAATGAAACGAGTAATACTTACACTAATACTAATGTTGGCAATATTACTACTATTACTACTAATGCTACTAATATTGTTAATAGTAATGATGATTACACTAAAACGATTATTAGGTATCATAATACGATCAATAACATTACTAATATGACGAATGCTAAGACTGATGATGATACTGATAGTCGTATAGGAATAGGAATATGAGGAGGAGGAGGAGGAGGAGGAGGAGGAGGAGGAGGAGGAGGAGGAGGGGAGGAGTAGGGAGGAGGAGGAGGAGGAGGAGAAGGAGGAGGAGGAGGAGGAGGCGGAGGAGGCGGAGGAGGAGGAGGAGGAGGAGGAGGAGGAGGGAAATGGAGGAGGAGGAGGAGGAGGAGGAGGAGGAGGAGAGGAGGAGGAGGAGGAGGAGGAGGAGGAGGAGGAGGAGGAGGAGGAGGAGGAGGAGGAGGAGGAGGAGGAGGAGGAGGAGGAGGAGGAGGAGGAGGAGGAGGAGGAGGAGGAGAGGAGGAGGAGGAGAGGAGGAGGAGGAGGAGGAGGAGGAGGAGGAGGAGGAGGAGGAGGAGGAGGAGGAGGAGGAGGAGGAGGAGGAGGAGGAGGAGGAGGAGGAGGAGGAGGTGAGGAGGAGGAGGAGGAGGAGGAGGAGGAGGAGGAGGAGGAGGAGGCGGGAGGAGGAGGAGAGGAGGAGGAGGAGGAGGAGGAGGAGGAGGAGGAGGAGGAGGAGGAGGAGGAGGAGGAGGAGGAGGAGGAGGAGGAGGAGGAGGAGGAGGAGGAGGAGGAGGAGGAGGAGGAGGAGGAGGAGCAGGAGTTGCCTCCTGATGCAGGGGCTGCGATCCTCATCCCCCCATCCCGACGCGCTCCCGTGTTGCGCGCCCAGGGGCCCGAAGGGCCAGGGCAGGGGGGCGGCGCCGGGCCGCGGCCGCAGCGGCGGCTACGCGGAAGGAGCGCGCCCCCCTCGGCGGAACGTCAGGCGAAGCGTGTCGCTTCAGAATGGCATTACAGTCAGCCCGCATAGCAAGGACGGGCATCCGTCCCCAAGGGTGCCATTGCATCCTTGCTCCCTCGGTCCATCCTTGGCCACGTTCCTTGGCCGAAGCCCTGCTCGAAAAGCTGCGACATGGCCTTCCAAGGCCATTGCATCCTTATCGTGTGTCCTCATTGTACGGGTTGACTGTACCCCGATTGAAGGACACCGCATGGTAACCGCCTCACTGTGAATCAGACTCGCCCTCACCTGTTGTTAAGGACGGTGATGGGATGCGAGGATACTAGGATGCGCCGTGCGGGACCTCTGAAACATGCGGGGCCCGTAGAATCTGTGCGATCTGTGGGGCCTGTTGGACCTGCGGGTTCCATAGGGAGGGGGCTCCCGCTCGAGACTTCCTCCCTGGATTTCCTCCCTATTCGCTCTCAAATGAGGCTCCCGCTTGAGACATCCTCACGAATTGCCCCCTTGGGGTGCTCGAGTGTTATGCCTGCTGTACTACGCCGATGACCCGCGCGGAAGGCGACCATGATTTGCGGGCCCCAGAGGGAGGGGGGCTCCCGCCTGAGACTTCCTCTCGATCCGCTCACAGACGAGGCCCCCTCTCCAGGCATGCTCACGATCCACCCCCTAGGTGTGCTCAAATGTTATATTTCGCAGAGTATCCCTATGACCCGCTCGAATTGCCAACATGAAGTGTGGGCCCCACAGGGAGGGGGGGCTCCCGCCTGAGACTTCCTCGCAGTTCAATCACAGGCGAGGCCCCCGTTTAAGGCATTCTCACACGAGTTGCCCCCCTTGGGGTGCTCAAGTGCGATGCCTGGTAAAGAATCCCGGCGACCCGCTCGGAATACCACCATGAAGTGCGGGCCTCATAGGGACGGGGCTCCCGCCTGAGATTTCATCGCAACTCATCTGCAAACGAGGCCCCCGCTCGAGATGTCCTCACGATTTGCCCCCTCGGGCTCCTCATGTGGTCTCAGATCACATGAGAAGCCCAAGGGGGCAAATCGTGAGGATGTTTCGATGACCCGCTCGAATCGCCAACACGAAGTGCGGACCCCACAGGGAGGGTGTCTCCAGCCTGCGCTTCCTCGCGCTTCACTCACAGACGGCAACCCCGCTCGAGACATCCTCACGAGTTGCCCCTCTCCCCCCCCCTTGGGTGCTCACGTGCCATGCCTACTAGAGTATTCCGATGGCCCGCTCGAACTGCCAACACGAAGGACGGGCCCAATAGGGAGGGGGCTCCTCCCGCCTGAGACTTCCTCGCCATTCACTCACAGACGAGGCCCCCGCTCGCAACATCCTCACGAATTGCTCCCTTGGGGTGCTCAAGTGGTATGCCTGGTGAAGTATCCTGATGACCAGCTCGGAATATTAGCATGAAGTGCGGGCCCCATAGGGAGGAGGCTCACGCCTGAGGCCTGTGCGGAATTCTCTGACAGACGAGGCCCCCGCTCGAGACATCCTGACTACTTGCCTCCTTGGGGTGCGCAAGTGCGATGCCTGGTAGAGTGTTCCGATGGCCCGCTCGAATTGCCAACACGAAGTGCTGGCCCCATAGGGAGGGGGTTTCCGCCCGCGATTCCTGCCAATTCATTCACGGACGAGGCACGCGCTCGAGTGTTCATCAAGATGAATGGTGTAATGAATGCTGGTGATGATGATGGTGATGATACTGGTGGTGGTGGTGATGATGATGATGGTGATGCTGCTGATGATGATGAGTGTGTGATGAGTTCGCGTGGTGATTATGATGTGGTGATGATGTCAGAATGTGAGTGATGATGATGATGATGGTGATGATGATGATGATGATGATGATGATGTTGGTGATGATGATGGCGATGGTGCTTATGTTGCTGATGACGATGATGCGGCTCTTGATGATGATGATGATGTTGATCATGACGATGATGCTGATCATGATGATGATGCTGCTGATGATGATGATGCTGATATTGCTGCGTCTGATGATGCCGATGCTGCTGACGATGCTAATGATGATGATATTGTTGATGACGATGATTATGCTGATGATTATGATGGTGCTGATGACGGTGGTGGTGGTGGTGATGATGCTGTTGATGATGATGATGATGAGGATGATGATGATGATGATGATGATGATGATGATGATGATGATGATGATGATGATGATGATACTGATGATGATGATGATGATGATGATGATGATGGTGATGATGCTGATGTTGATGATGATGATGGTGATTGTTATGATGCTGATGCTGAGGCGGATGCTGATGCTGATGATGGTGATGATGGTGATGATGGTGGTGCTGGTGATGATAATGACGATGATGATGCGATGATGATGATAATGATGATGCTGTTGCTGATGCTGATGCTGATGCTGATGCTGCTGCTGCTGATGATGATGATGCTGATGATGATGATGATGATTATTATTATTATTATTATTATTTTCATTATTATTATGCTTATTGTTATTATCATTAATATTTTTTACCATCATTATTATTTCCATTATTATTGTTAGCTTAACTATTATTATCATTATGACGATGATGATGATGACGATGCTGATGATGATGATGATGATGATGATGATGATGATGATGATGATGATGATGATGATGATCATTATTATTCTTATTATTATTATTATCATTATTATTACTACTATTATTATTATTATTATCATTATTGTTGTTATTATCACTATTATTATCGTTGTTATCTGTTGTCATTATTAGTATCATCATTCCTATGTTAGTTTAGTATTATTGTTCTTATTTACTTTATTCGCCTTCCTGCTTCATGTTTCCACTTACTTCTTCCAACTGTCGGGTAATCGTCGATCCCCAGGGATGGGAAGACGAAAACCGGGAAATATTGAAGATATAGGGGATCCTGGGATCTTTTTTTTTTGTGTGTCCCTGGGCCCCTTCACTGTTCTCCCATGCAGGGGGCGGGCTGGGTTTGGAGCTGGCTCGGGGTCCGAGGTGGTCCAGCACTCGGTCCGGCCAGCAAGAAGGGGGGGAGGGGAGGTTCGGGGTTCTGGGTTCGAGAAGGCTTTTGCAATTTTCGGCCTTAGGAGGTTCTTTTTCGGGCCCTGGGACCGTCAAGAACGGATCCAGGATGGAAGACTGCAGCAGATGGACCACAGGAGGGGTTAGGGGACCGAATTTGAGCGGATTTGCCTTCTCGACAGACTTTCTCGAGGTACATCCAGCTCAGACCCGCCAGCCGCCTCCAAGGCTGGGTGGCGCGAATACCACTGCCCCCACCAGCCGCCCCATCCCCAGGAAGAGTAGGAGGGAGAACGGAGGAAAGAGATAGGCCAGGCGAGGCTACCGTAGGTTCATGCAGCGATGGTGCGCCGGCGACGCCGGTGAAGGCGTTCATGATTGAGCTCCGCATGGCAGAACGATGCGGAAGCACCGAGGGGCAGGGTAACGCCACAGGGCTCGACGGAGTTCAACCTTGAACGATCGGGGCCGCGATCAGTTCAAGGTTGAACCATCGACGCGGTGTCAGGCCTCTTTGCGAGCGGGCTCTCTCCCCGTGGCCTGGCTCGTCGACCTCTTGGGAGGGGGGGAGGGAGGGAGCAGGAGGGAGCGAAGCGCAGACCACGCCCGTTGCCATGCGCAGCACACGATGTTTCAGGAGCGTCTCTTCGCCTTCTGCTGCCACATCACTCGCCTTGGAAGAAGCGGGGCAGGCAGTGCCATGCACAGTGGGCAGTCTGCCGTCCCAGCAGGGGCTCGGGCTCGGCGAAGGAGGGAGGAGGGGGAGGGAGGAAGTGGAGGAAGGGGAGGAAGGAGCAGGAGGGAGGAAGGGGAGGGAGGGGAGGCAGGGGAGGCAGGGGAGGCAGGGGAGGGAGGGGAGGGAGGGGAGGGAGGGGAGCAGGAGGGAGGAAGGGGAGGGAGGGAGGGAGGGACCCGGATCTCCGACGAGATCGTTTTTTCAGTCCCGGCGTGCTTCCTCGATCTCGGCTTCCCCGGGCCCGCGGGCGGGCTCCGGGACCACCTTGGGCGGATCCTGGACGAGAAACGACCCCCAGGGAAGCGGTCGGGATCTCCTGGCGCCGCGGACTGAACACCAACACGTGGCAGGAGGCAGGGAGGGGAGGAGGAGGGAGGGGGGAAGCAGGGAGGCAGGGCAGGGAGTAGGAGGGAGGAGGCGATCCCCGTGTGACTGCGCCGGGGTCATTCTTGTTCTCATCACCCTGCCTCCTCTTCCTCCTCAGATGGTGTGAGGGGTGTGTGGGTGCCTAGACCCCTCTCGTCGGGAGAAGTCCCGGCGGGAGGTTTTGTGCGTTTTCCCGTTCCCTCGGGCTGGTACCAGATCCGGGGCTGTCAAAATACGTCTCGGGGTGAAAGCTGGGGATCAGAGTATTCGCTCGCACCCCCCAAAACGTGCGACACACACAAGCACACACACACACAACACACACAACACACAGCACACAAGCCCACACAAACAAACAGACACAGACACAGACACAAACACAGACACAGACACACAGACACAGACACAGACACAGACACACAGACACAGACACATACACAGACACAGGCACAGACACACGCACACGCACACGCACACGCACACGCACACGCATACGCATGCGCTTGCGGCATGCGCATTGGCATACGCATACGCATGCGCATGCGCATGCGCATACACATTCACAAATACATACACGTACACAATCACATAAACACATACACATACACACATACACATTCATACACACATACCATACACATACCATACACATACCATACACATACCATGCACATACCATACACACATACACACATACACACATACACACATACACACATACACACATACACTCATACACACATACATATACTCACATACACATACCTGCATACCTACATACACACATACACACATACACACATACACACATACACGCATACACACACGCACACACGCA